AGCTGGAGATACCATCATTTATTTGCAGAAATCCAGATTCATTAATTTGGCTGGGCTGCTTTATAGAGAACCACAGGGACACCCCCGCCTCCCAAGGCTCACCACTTGCTTTCTAATCCCACAAACTATCTTTCTAACAATCTGCTCCAGAGACGTCCAAAATTAATGTCAAGCTTATGCATTTATCATTTCCAAGATCTCTTTGAAAAAAATTGGACTTTTTGCCTGTTTCTGGTCGTTTAGCCCTTTTTCAACCATCATAATGGCATAAAAATTGGCAATCTGCGAGTATACGTGAAGGTGTTCGGTAGGCAGCGAATGGCTCAGCTGGCTGGCCCTCCTTTCCTGACCACACACGCTGCGCTCTTGCCCCAGCTCACTCCTCCCAACATGACAGGGGCCCAGTGGCTGCTCTCTGTCACCAGCTATGTACCCGAAGTTGTAAGCCTACACTTCCTTCTCTTTCTTGCCGGGAATATATAAAAGACGCTTATTGTCTTGAGTATTTTCCACCAGCCTCAGCACATTCAGGCCACTGGACTTCCTGACACTCCTCTTAAGGGGTCAGGCCACTCCTCAATCCTTCAGTGACACACACCACCACCCCCCCCTTCCACATAAGGAGCGTGGTCTTCCACCATCTGCGTTCACCAAAAAGCAGCTCATGTAGCCACACAGATGGCTCAGTTCTCCCCAAGCCCCATCACCTTCCTCCTTGGGGCACCATTCAGGACTGTTCTGTCAGCATTTCGTTTTTAAAGAGCAATCCTATCCTTCCAGCTAACTTCCCTTTTAGTGTGTGGGCCTTGGGTTTAACATTGCTTGCATTTGAAAGACGATTTCTGAAGTCTATGGTAGATGCCACTCCTTGTCCAGTCTTCACTCTGGCTTCACAAACGTGGGAGACGGGGTTCCCTTCTCTAAAGCATTTCACTTCTGTCTTACCAATCAATCCTCCCTTTCGCTGGTGGGGACTGGTGCCAGGCTGAAAGCGCCCCTCCCCAGCCTCTGTCTTCAGGAACACACAACTACCGACAGGCGAGGCAAGAGTTTGTAGATATTCTGGTATTGTTGAGAGATCCACAGTTTTGAAGTACCTGGTCTCAACACGGCACAGAGAGCTGTTTCACCCACTAAACCCATTCAGCTGAGGGCTAGACGGGGTTTTCACAGTATATATATTCCCATTTCTCTCCATTTATCACCCAGAATCTTTTCAGTCATGCTTCCAACCTTCCACATATGTTTTTCTAAGCAGGGTTTGTTTGCTTTTTCCACAGTTATTCTCATACCCTTCCTATCAGGTGTTTACTTCCCTCACCCATGAGCAATTTCTCAGTCAGGCCCAAGAAGGTCCAAGACCACAGCAGCCCCTTGCTCCTGGGTGTCTAGGCTCCTTCCACACCAGAGAAGCTGGCAAACTCTTCCCTGCTTCTGCCTGGCCCCATGGCTCTTTTATGAGCAAGCCAGGAGAGGTATTGAGATAAACACCTGACTTGTATTATATCTTTATATACAACTTATATACAATTTTTTATTGTATTATTATTTCTTTATATACAACTTTATATACAATTACAACTTAGAGACAAATACACAATCATTTACACATAAAGATACCGCACTGTTTCCATTTCTTTCACCCATCTCCACCTCCTCAGAGTTGAGGCACATTCCCAGCCTTCTCTAGATGTTCTAGGAATGTGTTGTCACTGCCTTTGATTACCTACTATGTGCCAGACGCTATGCACGTTTTAATCTCCATTAATCCTGACAACAGCGCTGCGGAGAAAAGTTACCCCATCTGACAAATGAGAAACCAATGCTCAAGACGGTAAGCAGCAAGGGGCTTACTTTGGGGTCTGAGGCCTACCTTGTCTCCTCACCTACCACAGCCTACCTTTCTAATTAGACCTCTTCCTTGTGCTACAAGCTATCACTCAGGTGAAAAGACTGTGACGTCAAACAGCCTTGGACATCAGCCTAGGATCTAAATTCTTCCTGCCACTAGAAAGGAAGACCACAGTACAGGAATGAACCACTTGAAGGTGTTTACCTCACTTTGGGTCCCAGAGAAGCAGTCACCTGGTTCTGGTGGGAGGGCCCGTCCCTGGGAGCTGTCTCTAATCTTAAAACGCTGAGCTTCTTTTCTGAGTGAAGGGGCTCCACAGCACCTCCCCCTCCACACATACACTGCAAAAAAGAGTGAGGAGCAGAGAAACCCAAGATAACGTTCCCCCTTACAGAATGATACAAAGCAGCTGTCAGCAGACAGCTCAAAGAAGCAGGGGGAGGTAGAGACAGGATGGAAGGAAAAGGTGCCTAGAAGAGGAAATGCTAGGAAGCAGGGATGCAAGGAGATGGACTGGTTCCCAAGAGACTCCTGGATGCTGTGTCTTGTCCTACCTGAAGAATCAGGGCCGAACTCTAAAGTCCTCTACCTGAGCCAAAACAAACAAAAGACACTCTGATGCAGTAACATGTCCTCCCTTTCCCAACCTCCCCAATCTTGGGACACTCTGTGACACGGCTGCTCAGATCCAGTGGTTAAGGTCCCAGCAGTCCCCCTGGGGTGGTTCTCTCGGGCTCAATCAGGCAGAGCCTCTGGGGCATTCCTCGGCTCCGTGACTACGCCGCCAGAGATGCGTTCGTTAAATGCGGTGTAGCCTGGACAGTGGTGTCCGTGCTTTCGGCTTTCACAGACCAATAAAAAAAGTTGTGGATGTAGACGCTAGTTACCATTTTGTATTTTACCAAATAAATTTTTTTAAAAAATAGATTTATTTTTCTATCAACACCTCCATTTTGTCAAAGATACTGCATTTTGAGCGACAAATAGAAAGGACCTGTCCTTAAAACAAGTCAAAAATGGTTTTAAGGAAAAGCTCACTCCATTGTCCCCTTTCCATGGTTTCTCTAGAACCTGGAACAACTCTGTTGTGGGCCAACACTGGTCCATACAGTATGTAGTCCTTCTGTCTTAGGACACCATGGGCCACCGGCCACAGACCCTGGGGGCCCAAAGGGGTAGCCGTCCCTGGCGAGCTCTATGTGGGTACAGATCTCTCAGCAGGGCTGTCTCTAAGCCTCAGACAACCCAGAGCCCTGTACCTTAACCACAATCACCAAGCAGCCCAAGTCCAGCAGCTTATGCACAAGAATGACAGGACTCTGGCCTCACTCCCTGCCCCTTTCACTCAGATATGCACATTGGTGCCATAAGAAAAGCTTAAACACAGTTCACCACAGCCACTGGTTCCATGAATACCCAGCTCAGAAGGCTCAGCCCCCTCTGCTCCTTGGGTTTGATCACCAGAGGAGTGGAGTGAAACAAAAAGGGTGGCAAGATGGGGTGGACGCCTCAAGGAAGCAAGCAAAGGAACCAAGCTTTAAAAGTGGACCGAACAACTCTTCCTTACTCCCAAACGCCAGATCTCGTGCCCAGGAGTGAAGTCTACCTCTGCTCTTCTCCTGCTCCCTTTCAGAAGTGACCCACAGGGCACTGGGCCAGCAGGATGCCAACTAGTCGCAACACCAGCAACATACAGGGGCTGGACACGGTCTCCCAGGCTAGGGGGTGGGTGAGGGGAGCTGCACATGTGATCCAGATGTCTGCTTTAACCAGAGACCGGGGAAACCAGAGCAGAGTCTGTGGTCCTGAGCCGCAATATCCAGCTTCCACAGAGAGTGGACAAGAAAAGGTGAAAAGGGGCAAAAAACATCCCAGCAACACCCACTTCCCTGCCCCCAACACTTGGAGCTCTCTTCCCAGCCACGGGACCACAGCCCCACCAAGCTCACGGCACAGCTGGGCGCTCAGCGGTCAGGGAAATCCCGAGCGCCAGCCACCCGCCCATCCATCGAAGCCACAGGTGCCCTGGCCCTCAGAAGCGCAGCGGCTCCCAGCCCAGCTGGAAAGGGCTTCAAAGGCCATCAAGCACAAGCCCTCCATTTCCCCAGGGAGGAGACAAGCCCAGAGAAGGGGCCTGAGTTGTGTGAGCCCATGGACAAATCAGTGGCAGAGCGGAGGAGCCCCACAGGCAGCGCAGGCCTCCGGCTCTGTCCAGCGCCAGTTCCGCTGCCTGGAGCGACCTCAAGCCGCTACACGGCTCTCCCGAGCCGCTCAACTTCGCTCGGCCGTACTTCTGCCAACTCCGCGCTATCGAAGCTGCCACCAACCTCGTGCTGGCAGCCAGCCACCAGAATAGAAGGGAACGATGGCCAGTGCAGGGTCACTACCTCTCCACTTCCCCCTTTCATCTCATGCCCACTCCTTTCCTTCCTCCATCCCCCATTCCAAATGAAGGGAATACTCTTCCCTGAGCTTGACAGTGTCTCAAAAGCACATCATTCATTCGTTCAATTAGTATCTGAGTGCTGACTACACATCAAGGAACTGAGCCGGGTCCTGAGAACACAGAGATAAAGAAAAGTCTTGGACCCCCAAGAAGTACTCGGTCCAGTAAAGGAACCCAAATCACGGGTTGTCATTAAATGTCCAGTTCCAGTAGGCTCTCCTGCTGTCTTTCTGAGAAAAAAGGTGGTACTCAAAATAAGATTTAGGAAAAACAGAACATCCCATTCCATCAGGGCAGCACAAAAGCACCCTGTCCCTCCAAATCTTGCTTTCCAAATCCACCCCTTACCTGACACCATCACTCCCCATACCACCCAAGCCTTGGTGTGATCTTGAAATGCATCTGAGGTTTCAAGCAGGACAAAAAACAAACACAAAAATAAACAAACAACTTCTACAAATAAGGCTGGATACGTCCTGCATCAAATGCAAACATCAGAGAGGAGAGTGCTAGCTGAAGACCCCTGCTACCGGGTTACCGTCTTACAAACTGTCAGCCCCTCAACAAGCCAGCTCCCACCCACGGCCGCAGTGAAAGACCAAAAGGATTAGAATGGTAGACTGGGCTTAACATCTTCAATAAGACCCTGTGAGGACAGCACCCTCATGGAAAGGACAGGGTAGGCAGGAAGGGCTAGCTTACCTCCTTGAGAAGCCCCACTTTTTTCTTCAGCACCTCACACTTGCGCAGCTTGCAGATCTGGTGCGTGCGGCGGTTGGTGCAGCTGGTGCAAGCCCCGCAGTTTTCCAGCCGCCGGCACGGCTCACAAGTACCACACCGTTTTCGTTTCTTTCGCCCATCTCCACCCCCTCGGAGTTGGGGTTCACTCCCGGACATTGGGAGCCCAGGCCCCTGGAAACCCCCTACCATCACCTGGCCCTGAGGGAAGTCATAAAGGCCTGGCAGGTCCGGCTGGACTGCCAGGGGCACCTGAAACTGGCTCATGACGCTGCCAGAGGCAAGGGCATAGGTGCCGGAGTAAAGCCACGGTCCAGCTTCCTGCCTGCCTGCAAAGGCCACCACCAGGTCCTTCTTTCCTAAAACAGTCAAGAGTGTACAAGGGTGAAGGCAAGTAGCTCCAGTCTCCAGGATGGGCGCCTCTTCTCAACCCCTCTTCACCTCCTCTGCAGCAGTCTGATAGGGCTCAGCTGGGGGCCACTCTCCCATCTGCTGGGGCCCAGGATCTGGGGCAGGACACCAGCAGCGGTCCCCAAAGAAGGGATCATCTTGGCTGGGTGGGTTCTTCACCCTCACCCACCCTGGACCCAGGCATGAGGTGAGCAGGTGGGTGTGTGGTGGGGGCTGGGCAGGGCAAGGAGTTTCTCCTCCTCGTAACTGTCCTCCGGGGGTCAGGATGATGAAGAAGGCAGCGCTGCCTAAAAGAGAGACAGAAAGGGGAAGCGCATCACTCGAGGCTCAGGGACAACTTTCACATGTTACCCCTTCCTGCTTCTGGAAGAAGAGAAAATGGGGGAAGAGAAAGGGCTTGTTCAAATGAAGTCCTGCCCAGAACCTCTCTGGCAGGGCGCACCAGCACCCTCTCCCTGCCTGAGGGAGGAGGCCTAGCGCCGGATGGGGTGCTGAGGGAACCTTGCTCGACGGATTTAAAGGGGTGGTCAAGGTGAGATGTCTAATAAAGTTGTCCTCTGCCCCACCCCCACGGGCTTGGGAGAGTTTCACCAAAATTCCCACACACACCCCTCACTGGAGGTCGTTGGGGCCTCCCCAAGGGAGCAGAGCTTTCAAAATAAAGTTTGCTGAGAGCTTCACTCCGCGGGGCTGCCCGAGCGCCCCTGGCACGGAAGCGGCCTGGACGGGGGCGCGCCCGGGGTAGCCCGCGCCGGCCGCCCCGCCGCGTCCCCCGCCCGCCGGCCAGACTGGGGAGGGCGGCCCGCTCCGCCGAGGGGGCGCGGGGAGGGGGGCGCGCTCCAGCTCGGGCCGGGCCGCGCGCGCGCCGCCGCTCGGGCTCCTTTGTTCTGGGGCCTCGGCCGCTCGGCTCCGGCGGCTCCGCAGCCCCCGCCCCGCCCCGCCGCCCCCGCCCGGCTCCGCTACACTGTGACCCGTAGCACCCCCGCCCCGTCCCCCGCAACAAAGTAGCGGCCCCCCCGGCCGGCCCCCTGGCCGTCCCCTCCCCCCCCCCTCGGCCGGGCCCCCCACGCCTCTCCGCCGCCCCTCCCCCACCCCGGAGCCGGAAAGGCACCGACTGCACCGACCTGCCCGCCGCCTCCGGGGCGGAGCGCACAAAGGGGCAAAGTTTCCCGGCCCGCGCTGCCGCCGCCACCACCGTCGCGGCCGCCGCCGCCGCCTGGGGCGCCCGCCTCACGGAGCGCCTGGCCGGGCCGAGCTGGGCGCGCGGAGCCCCCCTCCCGGGCCGAGGAGGGGACGGCGCAGGAGGAAGGAAGAGGCAGCGGCGGCCGCGGCGGCAGCAGCAGCAGCAATGAAGGCGTCCGCGGGACTCCCCGCCCCCCGCGCGCCGCGGCACGTGCTCGCCCGGGGACTCCCCCGCCCGGGAGGGCGCGCACGTGCGGCCCCGCCGAGCCCCGCCGGCCCCGCGCCCCCTCCACCGGGCCGGGGGCTGCGCGAGGGGGGAGTTCCCGCGGAGGGGGAGGGGACGGAGAGGGCAGCCCGCGAGCGGGAGGCGGTCGGGCCCGACTTGGCCGCCGCGCCTTTGCACCTGCAGTACCTCCCCACCCCCGCGTCGGCCCTCCCAGGACCCGGCCGCCCCCTTCGGGCTAGTGGCCCCCGCCCTCCCGCGCTTCTGCAGCCCGGGCGGGCGAGGCGGGCCGCGCGGGGTGGGGAACGCGGACCTCCTAGCCTAGGCCCTCGGCCGAGCTGGCCCCGGTGTCCCCACTTCCTGCCGCTCCCTGCGGGCCCAAGAGGTCTGGGACGGCCCCGGAGCCCCCGGGGACCCTGAGCTGCAGGCCTGACTGAGCCCCGTCTCTTTGCTGCCGCTCGCTCATTCCGAGGCAGGACAATGGGGGACATCGCGCGTTTGCGTACCGAGTCAGCCTGGCCGGCAAGGAAGGGGTACCCGGGGGCAGAGGCTGCGGGCCGGCTGCGGGGCACCTTCGCAGGGGTCACGGCCGAGCGCCGTACTCAGGAGGACCCCAGGGCCCTGCCATCGCGAGCCTCCCCCGCGCCGCGCTCGGCTCTTTCGCGTCGAAAACAAAGACTAATCCGATACCCCCGCCCTGCCTCCCAGAGGAGGGGGAACGGGCGCGTCGCGGAGGGTAACGGAGGAGGACAGCGTTCAGGAGGGGCTCGGAGAGCCTATGCAGGGGGCCGTGGCGTAACCAAGCCCCATTACCCGGTGCAGACACTTTGAGAAGTCACCCTAGGCTATTTTCCAGGCAGAGGACAAGGGGCAAGGCACAAGAATATTTCCAAGTTGCCAAACTGCCCGTACACTCTGCTGCTGCTTTTTTTTTTTTCCCCTCACCTGTTGTGCAGGCCAAGTTGAAATTCCAGGTTAGATTAATTCAGCTCCACCTATCTGCTCTGACTGCCAGGCTGGTGCCCGCAGCTGCCTTCCACCTACCTGGGTTGCTGGGGAGAAGGGTGGGTCTCTAACACACACACACACACACACACACACACACACACACGCACGCTCACACACTCGTGCGCAGGCAAGTCCTGGCAGAAACAACCATGGGGGACTGGCCTGACCAGTTTGGGCGGTGCTCAGGGAGCCAGGTACCTGGCAGGCATCCCTGCCCGGCTGGAACTAACAACTCAGCCAGAACTGGAAAAAGAGCATTCGGCCGGCTATTTAGAAGAAACAAAAAAAGTAACTGATCTCAAGTAGCGCTGTCCAGAAAGCCCTAGGCGGTAGGAGAAGCCAGGTTCTGCCTGGAACTTCCCTCCTCGCAGGCCTTATTTTGACAGCCTGCTCCAGTGGCCAGATTGTCAGTTGTGGGTGGGTGAGGAACATGGCTGCAATACCTACTTCCTACCCCGGCGTTACAGAGGACTAAAGAGTTTCTTCTGTTCAGGGAAGTTAAGTCTAGAACTGAGAAGAGATACTTAGTGTAATTTTCAGTCAGTAATTTTCAGTCAAACGTGGAACAGGTTGTGGACTTGAAATTGTTACTGTAATGAATATTTAATATTTTAAATAATTTTGTGTTAATAAAATTATATATATATTAAAGAAAATGTAGAAGATACAGAGAATTAGAAGACAAACATCACCCAAATACAGCCACGTTAAACCATTTTCTGTATTTCTTTCTAGCTTTTTCTATTTGTAGATTAGTTTCCTTTTTTGGTTTTTGGACGGCAGGGTTGTACGCACACTGGTTATACAATTTTCTGCCCTCTTTTCACTAACGTTAACATAAGCATATAAGCATTTAAGTATATAAGCATATAAGTATAACATAAGCATTTTCCCATTTGTTATACAATATCCAGATAGACCGTGTGACAATGGCGTTGAAGAAGGTGGCTTAGGGACAGAGAATTCTGGATTCCAGACCTGGCTGTGCCGTTTGCTAGCAGAGTGACCATGGACAAGGTACTCACCATTTCTGAGACAATCCAAGTAAAGTGCTTGGCCTAGGGCTTTCTGGACATTGCTACTTGAGATCAGTTACTTCTTTTTTGTTTCTTCATAGGGCATAATAAATGACAACAGCTATTGTTTCGTCCATAGAACAACCTTGTGAACTAGGTACTCTCATTAAACTCATTTTACAGATAAAGAAACGGAGATTAAGTAACTTGCCCAAGGTCACTCAGCTAGTAAATGGTAGATTCAGGGGAGGCCTGGGTGGCTAGGTCGGTTGGGCATCCTACTCTTGATCTCGTCTCACAGTCAGTCCCCCAGGTCAAGCCCTGAGTCAGGCTCTGCGCTGACTGCACGGAGCCTGCTTGGGATTCTCTCCCCTCGCTCTGTTCCCATCCCCCACCCCTTACAATAAATAAATAAACTAAAAAAAAAAAAATGGTAGACTCAGAATTTGAGCCTGGCATCTTCCTGTATTCTGAGCAATTTACTGTGCCAAGTAACTCTTCACCAGCTCTCTGAGAGAGCTGTTTCACAAAGTCCTCTCGCTAGTTAACTGGGCCGATGCTGGTGCCATTCAGAGTATGGGAGGAAAAATACCTGGAGCCATCCGTGTGGAGCTGAGAGGGTGAGGCCGGGGCTGGAAACACACACGTGGACCCCATTGCTGAGCAGATTATAAGCGGGGCTTCAGGCGTGGAGGAGCTCATCTGTAGTGGGCAGGAGGAGTGGGAGGAAAAGGCAGCCAGGACAGCGTCCCCGGAACACCAGCTCGTGAGGAACAGCAGCGGACAGGGGTCCAGCAAAAGAGACTAAGAAGGAGAACCTAGAGAGGTGGGACGGAAACTAGGCCCAGCCCAACACCTGCCCATCGTTTTCCCAGCTGCTTCTCCCTCTGGACCCCTGCACTTGGGCAGTCCTCGTTTGCTCATTCCCTACGCCTGGGGAAACCCCTTCCCACTTCACCGCGGCTTCCAGCTGCTCCTTATACCTGTCAAATTCCCACCCATCCTGTAAGCCTCAGCATAAATGCCATTTCTTCCATGACACTTTTTCCAGCTCCTCGGATTTCAGAGCCCCAGCCTACCCTCCCCACAGAAGTTTGATGCCCCCCCCCTTTACAACCGTTATCTTATCAGCGTTGTAATTGTTTGCACATTTCCCTCCCAGTTACTATGAGCTGAGCTCCTGGAGGGCTGGGACCTTGTCTTTTCACCTTTGTAACCCTAGACCTAGCACTCAATCAATATGTGCTGAATGAAGAAACGAGGTCAGTAGAACCTGATCAATGACATATCCCGGCGACACCGAAGACCCACAGGCTTCCAGGGTTGTTTTGTTTTGTTTTCTCCAGCCTGCTTTGTCGGGTCTGCAGCCCCCTGTGCTGCGGGGTTGTTCCTTCCTCACACAGCACTCAGAGCTGGAGAGCAGCCGGGACGGTGGCGGAGGTGCCCAGCGGGCCTCTCTCTGTGGCAGCAGCATTAAGCTAGAGGCAGTGTTTGGCCAACTGTGCTCCCCAGATGCAGTATCACCAACACCTGGGAACTTGTTAGAAATGCAAGCTCTGGTGCCCCACCCCAAACTTACTCTAGCAGAAACTCTGGAGGTGGGGCGGGCGCTCTGTTGTAACAAGCCCTTGGGGTGATGCGCGGTCAAGTTTGAGAAGCACTGGACTAGTGGATGCGGTTGAGAAGCAAGTTCAGCGCCCAGGCGGCGGCCAGGATCAGGCCCGAGGCGCTTAGAGGAGGTAGACCGAGAGAGACTCCTTTTCATTAAGCAGCGTGGCGGGCCCCACCCCAGCGACCGAAGGCTGAGCCTCTTTAGGCCACTGCTCCGGTGAGGTCAGGACCTGGCTGCTGCAGCTGCCCCAAGGGTTAGAAAGGGAAATCCCGTCGCGAAGGAAACAAGCTCAGTGGACGGCAAGCACTGCGGGGTTGGCAGGGGGCGTTACCCTTTGGGGATGGGGGTGGGGCTGGGAAATAAGGAGAGCTTCCAGCTCCACTGAGGAACTGCGGTCGATTCAGCACGGGTGGGCGAAGAACACAGGAAGTTGAGTTGGATGTGCCCGCGTGGTTCTTCTGGAAGTCACTTCGTGGAATCAACGCTGCTCGCTGGTCGTTTGCCGAACCTGCAAATGATCGCATGCGACAAACCTCCTCTGAGATGCTTGACCCTGCTCCTTCTGTTTAGCTAATAAGCAATTTGCCCTAGTTGAAGCAGCAGCTCTGTACTGAGGAACCTTTTGCAGAAATGTAAATATACAGCCACGTCCATCCACACCTGGGCTTGGTTTTAAAGAATGAAGGCTTTGGGAAGTTTGTTTGATTTGGGATGTGCTTCTTCTTTGGTCATGTATTGGTTAAAAATATTATCAGCTAATGTTTGCATAGAGCGTTCCCTTTTCAAAGCACTTCCACATACACTATGGTCCTGTCTGCAGAATGGCTAATATGCCAAATGCAAATGTTCCTTTCCTTTTCTTTCTATGACACAGCTTTGATTATTATTATCACCATTTTACAGATAAGGGAACTGGGACTCAGAGAGGTAATTTGTCCAAGGTCATCCACTACTAAGTGGCAGAACCGGGCCTACGATCGAGGGCCTCTGAAGTTAGCCTACCAGTGCCAGAGCTGATATGGGGCAGACGCTGGCATTTTGTTCTTGGGGAAAGGGAGATGCATTAGTGGATTGCTTTTGGACATGCATGGGTTCATGTGACATGTGTAGAGTATCTAGACTATGTTTTTGAGTAGCTCAGCAAATGCTTTCATGTTTTATTT